GTAAATAAAGGAACTTAGGGAAAACTCTAATTTCCCAGAGGACCCGGCTATCTGCAGAACCCACACAAGCAATCAAGAACACAATAACAAAATAAAAAGATATGAAAAAAGAGATAGAGAGCTAAGAGGATTCTTATTCCTAATTCTGCGTAAGAGTGGTACAACGAGAGTAAGCCTTGGTTACAAGAGCTGATGGCGAGTTCCCTAGTTCTAACAACCTAAGACTGAAAACCCTAGTTGAGACGCAGCTCGATAACAAAAAACGGAAAGTTTCCTAATGTTAAATTTGGTGGTAAGAGCTCTGAAAATCGTGTCCTTTTCTTTTGTCCTTGGCCTTCTTATTATATACTCCCTCCTTAGGCGGTTTAGTCCTTCCTTTTCGCCTAGCTTCGAGTCTATCGGAAATCTTCCATTTATCTCGATCTTTCCTTTTTTCTTCGGAAATCTTCTATTTATCTTCAAACATGACATTTATCTTCTTTCTGCGACTAAATAGTTAAACCGTCACTGTATCTTTGGGCTAGACTTCGTCTAAAACCGTGGATAGGTTTTAATCGCGTTTTAAGAATTTCCGCGCTGTTTTGCGATAAAATCGTTTTACGATTTTAGACGCGACTGTTTCCTGATACGATGCCGTTTTTATAAGATTTCTTGATTTAACCGTATAGTTTGACAATGTACGATGTTCCGTTTAATCGTTGCTGTTTTATACGATCTTCCCGAATTCTTACGAGAAAAGATGACTTTTACAATTTTTATCGTCAAACTCGAATGGTAAGATGGATCGAGATGAAACGAAAGACGTTTCCACCATGGTTTAGAGCACGATTGAATTGAAGGACGTATGCCCTACGGCGAGCTGGTTCGTGACGGGACGGTCAGCTCGACATACGGCGAGCCGAACCACGTTGGTTCAGCGGTTCAGCTCGCCCTACGGCGAGCTGGTTTGGCCGAACCAGCTGGTTCAGCTCGTCGTATGGCGAGCTGGTCCGGGACAAACCAGTTCGCCGTGCGGTAAGCTGAACCGGCTGGTTTGGCTTGTCGCACGTCTAACTGGTTCGGTTGAACCTGCTCGTAGTGTGGTGGATGCGGTTTTTTCGGTTCTTGGCTTAACTTGGGTAATCGTGTAATCGGAGATCGTTTCGTTCGTTTTTCCGAGATGACAATTTCCAAGTTTCGTGCGGATTTTCTTTGTTTGGAAAATATTTAGAATTTTATAAAACGACTTCTCGTGTTTTATAAAACGTATTTTTATTTTTGCGGAAAGTTTTGGACATTGATTCCATTGTATCGATTTTAACCCCAACATATTTGAATTATGGATGTGATTTCTTAGGATAGTTTCTGTTATTTGAATTATGGCTGTGATTACTTAGGATAGTTTATGTTTAGGATTGTTACTTATGATTGTTTATTTTTTAGGATTTTTTGTGAATGTATTGTTTCTGTTACTGATGTTTGTTATCATTTTAGGTTTGGTATTGACTCATTTGTCAACTCTTTCATTCGGGCAACTTGGCAAGCATACTACATGGGGCCTTGGAAGAGTTGGAGGAAGGTTCCTGATGAAAGGAGGGACGCATGGTGGCACACAGTTGTGGTAAGTGACTAGTATACATTTTATATCCGTTTTACATGTTTTTAAATCTCATATTGTTTTGTTTTCTTTTGTAGCAAAATTATTATTGGGAGCCTGAGTTTAATGACTTGGTCTACGGTCTTTGGAAGAAAGAAACATGGACTACCATTGGTGAAAGGATAAGCCAAAAGAAGAGGCAACAAAAGAAGCCAAAGTATATCAATGAGGCTGACTAGACACTCCTGTTAGAGCACTGGGCAACCGATGCAGCTAAAAAGAAGAGCAAAAAGTCTGCAAAATCTCGCAAGTCTGATCATGTGTGTAAAGGCTGCCACAAGCATAATGCAGGACCTAGGTCTTTTGCAAGAATTGAGTATAACATGGTATCTTTCCATGTCTACTTTTAAATATTGTTCTTTTTCTATAATCTGCTATAATTATTTTCCTCTTCTGCAGATGGTGGCTTCTGGTACTAATGAACGGCCATCATTCATGATCTAGTTAGGGAGACACACACCCGACCAGATGGGACCTTTGTGGACTATCGTGCAGAAGAGGTTGTTACTCAAGCCGAGATGGAAGCCACACAGCTCTCTAACACTGAAAGATCACCTGGGAGTCCAAGTACATCATCAACTCCTTCTCGCCTCAAGTTAAACAAAGTTTATCTAAAGGTATCTGTAATGACCGTGACCCATCTATTTTTTAAACCGGTATTGATTTAGTTCAAATTAAAATTATCTTTAAAAAAAATAATAAAATCGAGACCTATTTTCTTTTATGGTTAGTCATACTAGATCCTTTTCCGCGTTATGCGCGGATTACATGTTTAAAATTTATCTTTATTTTTCTATTTTGTTATTTTATAAATATTAATTTTACTTAATATTTCTTTCGTTTCAATTTACATGTCGTTGTAGAGATAAAATTTCGTTGCACATTAAATATCGTTTTACAATTTCTTACATGTTTTTTTTTATTTTTCTATTGGTTAAAATGTGGTTAAGTGTATAGGCAATGGTATTTTATTTTGGAAATATGTAAAATTAAATATTTTCTTAATTTTTATGCGAAAACCTAGAACGACAACTAAAATAAAACGCATGGATTATTTCTATTGTCCTTTTGTTTTATGCATAAAATTTAAATATTTTCTTTGTCTTACAATGTACATGTTTTACAAAAAAAAATCTTGTTTGTAAATGTAAGATGTTTTGATAGTTTATTTTTTTCATTTTTTGAAACTTACTTGACCAATAATATTATATTTATTATTTATGTTTGATTAGCTAAGTTTAGATTTATATTACTGATACTATTTAAAAATGTTTTTTAATTCTTATACATGTGACCAAAACATCATATAATAGGAAATAGAGAAGTAAATTGTAAACCTTGTTTTCGAATTTTTGTTTAGTGATGTAACTCAAACCCATTATTAGGACATGACTGGTGTAACCACAACGGTTGTGGATGATGTTGCAGGTGTTTGCAAATACAATGAGTACGGTTTTAAGCATTATTAAAATATTTGTACACTTGGTATAACAGTTAGAAATTGGTACTTTTGTGAGAAACTTATGACTAATTAACTATATGAATATACCATTGGTTAAATAATAAACTAATAATATTTACATTTTATATAATTATAAAAATATTTAAAATCATATTATTTTAATAAATATAAAAATATATTATTCATTTTTGTAAAAAATATAAAAAATAATTAGTCTTAAATTTTTATAAGATAAATGGAAATATAATATAATTCTGGGTATTTCTATTATTTCAATTTAAAATTTTAATTAGTGTTTTTATATTTGTGTAATTTTTTGAAAAAGAAATTGTGTTTATCTTTCCATAAGCGCAACCGCTAGCTGAAATCAATTTTAAAATTTTAGAAGTTTAAAGAGATCTGAAGCGATTTATAGTATTCTCTATGATTATTGTAATACGCAAACTGTGATTGCAGGTGGTAACAGAAAAACTAATCATGTCTTTAGTGTATGCATTAGCATTTGTTGCTGAGGTGGTATGATGCCATGATTGCAATACCATGGGGTTTAATTTAGTCTGTCCTATTGTTTATGAACATGGCGTTACGATTCACTGCGATGATGACTATTTAGTACTCTCTCTTTTCAATATCTAAATAATACATTTCAAGTATGGGATGGTGAGGGAAAATTGAAATGAATAAAGAGTTAATTAAGCATGGATCATATTACAAATTTATCTGGCCTATTTGGATTATCATGAAAATAAATGGTTAATTACAGTTGATCCAAACGTTTATATACTTGTAATCCATGCTTAAATATTTATTGATTTAAGAGTGTCATTTGTTGTTTACTATTATTATACCATCTCCAATGGTTTCCCTCATTTTTCTCTCAAAATGAGGTTGTGATTTGCTCCAATGGTTTCTCTCATTTTTTCCTTCAATTATTATTATATTCATTTTCAACTTATTATTTATTACAAATAACATATTTTATTTCATAAGATTTTAGAGTATACTCACTTATTTTTAAATTCTATAATTTAACAAAATTTTAACTTATAAAAAAAATATTTATTACTTTAGTAAAGATATATAACAACATACAAAGTAATAATAGAATTGTATTAGGTTTGTTGTGTTTTTTCTTAACTTCGTATTATTAATGGAATTTTTTTTTCTATTTGTTTAATTATATATTATAAAGTATAAAATTATAGATTATAAATTATATTTTAATAAATAATTATTGGTAGTTTAAGAATTTTAATTAGTATATACATATTAGATATAAAGTTATAAAAATTATGTTTAGTGTTAATGTTTTGTTTATGCATAAAATAAAGATTGTCAAAAAATAAAAGACCATTATGTAAATAGTAAAAGCTTGACATCAAAATGAGGTTGTGAATAATGTTCCCTCAAAATGAAGTACCATTAGAGATGGATTTCCTCATTTTTTTTATGTTTTCCCTCATTTTGATATATCATTGAAGATGCTCTTAGCATATAAATCATGATTTGTTATCAGTCCCAATATGAATTTTATTTAACAAAAATGTCCATGAGATTAGTTTTTATCATTAACTTTCCTTTCTTTCTCATTCCTTGATTGATTTTTTTTTTTTTTTTAAATAGAATTAGCAATTTGACTTCTACCAAATGATATACGTATAATCATATAATCATTTATCTTTGGAATAACCTTATGTCTAATGATCTCATGATTCTCAAGCACTGATGTTGATATACCACCATAGTTGAATATCACTAAATTTAACTGCTTATAATTATAACAATGCTCAACTGATACAAAAGCTTTAAGAAGTTCTCTTTGTTTATGAGATTGAAGAACCCATATTTGTTTGTGAGTTCATCCTTCATATCATAAAATTCACATTACATGCTCGTGGTGGTCTAGTCATGTCTAGACTCAAAACGCCAGAGATCAACCGAAATATCAACCTCTTTTTGCTTATGGAACTTGTAGATCTTGGGAAGGTCATATCGGAGCTGCAATGGGAACAACATGAATAATAAGTTAGAATGTCCATAAACATTAACATCAAGAGTTTCATATGATGTTGATAGCTCCCACCTCGCATATAACTTCAGCACTTTTCAAATTAAAAGATAGTCACAAAACAAAAACATATACTAAAAAGGTGTAAATAGTTAAGTAAGATACTCACTTCTCTAGTAGATGTCTTATGGAAGGAATAAACAGCTTGAAAGGCAACCTTCATAGCCGCAGAGAGAAACTCCATGGCAGCTCCTTTCTTTCGTGTACCAAAGGGAGGATTCATCACAACAGTATCCACAACCTGACCTAAAAAAAACTCATGGATTAAGCTAAAAATAGATTCATCCAACCATGTTGAAATCAAAAGGAGGCTTTTTACCTTTTAACTCAAGCTTAGTAACGTCACACTTAGAAAAATCTATCTCCACCTGTGAAACCAAACCACATTACAGCAAAGAGTATTGCTAACAACCAAAGAAGAAGAATGTCACCAAACCTCAAGCTCATCTGCATTTAGTGTTGTGGTTTCAAGAGATTGTGGGTCGATATCAAAACCAAACACACAACTGTTTTTTTTAAAAAGACAAAGAGAGAATGAATATTAATAGTATTTTGATGAGATTGGAGTAAAAAAGATGAAGACTTTACAACACGCACCCTGCATCTAGAAGAGAAGCAGCAGCACTAAGAGTACCACAACCACAACCAAAATCCGCAACAACTTTGTCAGTTATGTCTCCATATGAATTCTTTGCCTAAAACAAAACACACTTCATCACTCTTCAAGAAACAAAAACAAACCCAATACACACACTGAAACCATTACTCTAGACTGTTATGAACCTCTCTTACACTCAAAAGAAACAGATAAAGAAAGACGCTTTTGATGTAAAGGGAGAGACTTTCCAGTGAAGAGCATGCGAGAAGCAATGTGAGGACCAGTTAGTTGGGTACTGCTCCAGTTCTACCTGCGACACACAAACATCAAAAAAAAAGAGCAATCTTTTTATTTAAAAATACTCAATTTTTGATTCGAAAGAAATAATTTTTTTTTTGGAAAATACTTTAGGGTTAACTATTGAAGATCCCCCAATAAGCCTTCTAATTGCTTCAGCTTCATCTTCTTCTAGTGGCAGATTAGAGCTTATTGGAAGGCTTATTGGGGGATCTTCAATAGTTCTCTAACCCTAAAGTTATTAGAAGCCGCTTGCTTGAGATGATAGATAACAGAGGTAATTACTTACTGACAAATTTACAGAGCTTATTGGAAGGCTTATTGGGGGATCTTCAATAGTTCTCAAGCAAGCTTATTCTTGCCCAAGAAGAACGTCAATAACTTTATAACCGTAGCTCTGTTTGACGATCGGGAAGATGATCTGGAAAGCCGACATCGATATCTTTCCAATGATACCTTGATCGTGTCTTGGTTCATTCTGTATCAACTGGAAAACATTGACAAAGTTGACTGTTGGCGAATCCGATCTGCAAAGATAGGTCTTGAAGAATTAACCATAGCTATTAAACTAAAATTCCAAATGATGATCCGCTTTCTTCTATAGATTCATCTATGAGTGAAGAACGTACCACGAAAGTTTCGTGTCCGAAATCAATTATTTGATCAACCGTTCCTGCCTTTCATCTCTACTGATCTCAGATGCCTTTTGCAGAAATATCCCTTGGAAAAACACTCATAACTTTTAGAATATAACTCAAACAGAAGATCCGTTTTTTCCAGTACGTAGAGAAAAGAGTCGACTACTTACTCGTTTACACCGGTTGACTTCATGGTTATGTATAATCGTGCTGAAAACAACTATTCGTGGAGTTTGGGCTTCCCTTCTTTAAAAAAGCAATATGTTGAAATGGAAAAATTCAATCAGCAGTTAGGAACATTCGTATAGACTGATGTAAGAAAATTTGGGGATTAACACTCATACCTTTTGTCTAACCCAGTAAAGGTTCAACCTTTTGCAATCGGCTGGTATGGGTAAGACGTTGTTTGAGGTGAAAATGGTTCGAACAATGTAAAGAGAGAGATGAGGGCGAACAAAGACGTTTTATTAGATCTGAACAAGGAGTTACAAAGAGAAGAGTAAAGAGGCGGACTAGCCGGAAATACAAGGTGGTGAGTAAATGGGAAGGTGACTAAACAGGAAGGCGAGTAAACGAGAAGGTGACTAAACGGGAGGTGAGT